GGCCACAACACTGCACTGTACTGCACTGCACTATACTATACTATACTATACTATTCCTAGGGATGGGCAATAATATTGGTATTAAATCAATGTTGTGATATGTGAAAAGATATCTGTGATGTATTTTAGGAAGCTTTTTAAACTGCATGCCCTGTTTTTGTTTCTCTTTTGATGTATTTTAGGAAGCTCTTTTGTAACACCTTAATGACAAATAGCCTTTTGGTTAAATCTGGCATTTTTTTTAAACCATGTGTATTTATTAATTTGCACCGTCCCTTCTCTCTCAAATAAACATATTTGTAATGCATACTAAAGTATTATAAAACTGAGCTTTATAATACGATACTACCGGCCACTATACTCAACTGAATTACATTTACTGATTGAACAACTTTACTGTAAATGTGCCACAGTTATTCAAACGTTTATGTTATATCTGTAGTCCCTGACAGATGTCACACCACACCACAGGCCACTATACTATACTATACTATATCATATTAAGAACAAACATAGCCCTGTAGCCAAAAGCTAAATTTTCTCAATAAGTACATCATTGTACACTAAAGCCAGCTAAACTATACTCTATATTACACTATAATAATTGCGTGAGTAAAGTGATAGTTCTCATCTGTTGTCCCTGGATAGATGTCACTCTACACAAAAGGCCACTATAATATAATCTACAACAATCTACTCAGTCAGAAGTCCCAGACAGATACACTCTTACGCTGCACTATATTATGCTAATTCTTTAGAGAAGACATGGCCTGATGGACAAAAGTTAAGTGGTCTACATACATCTTTGTATACTAAAGCGAACTAAATCATACTCTCTATAACACTAAACCACACTACAAGTCAATATACTGTACTATAGTATTCTGTACTGTACTGTACTATACTATGCGAATTCTCAGAGCAAACATGGCCCAATCATCAAAAGCTAAGTGGTCTCTCTATACATCTGTCAGTAAAGTCAACTGAATTAGACTCTAAACTACTCTACTATGCTACAGGCCACTATACTACATTATACTATACTCTACTATACTACCTTATTGAGAGGTAAACACAGTTGAACTTCAATACTTTACTACACAATACTACACTGTACTGTACTAGATTTCAGATTAAACATGACTCAATAGCCACAAGCTAAGTAGTCTCTGTAAACCTGCGTGGAGTAGTCCATTTGGAAGGCCCCTATATTATGTTTAATAGGCTTTTCCTTTTTACAACCCCAAATATGAGCAGTAAGAGGACGGCAGGCCCACAGAGTCCACACGTCCGTCTTCATCATTTGTCATTGTCAGCCGCAGGGGGTAGTTTTCACCGCTAAGCCAACAGATGTGGCAATAGGCCTCAACAGAGTAGTGACATAATTTCTGGAAAGGCCAGTACGTTTTTGGTTTCTAATAATAAAACGGCTTCCTAGTCCAACAACAACACTAGAGAGGGACTCAACCTACCGAGCAGCAGCAGTCGATGCGTCTGTTTGTACTCCCGTTTGAGCTCCTTCAGCGCCCTGTCAATGTTCTTACTGACTTTCTTCGCCTCCTTCTCGGCCTCCTTCTCCTCCACCAGCAATTTGTCCCAGTTTTTCTGCTTTTGGGTGCTAGTCTTTTGCAGCAGCTGTAAGCGTCGGCCGCGGTCCTTCTCTGTCCCCTTACCGCTACCTCCGCCACCACCGCCTCCTCCTCCGCCGCCACCTCCGTTTTGTATGAGCGCACCGTCGGTACCGGTGTCTCCACGGCGGTGCTCCCCGGCCGGGAGCCTGGCAGGGTCCCCGGGGCGAACCGGACCGCCGCCGCCGCGTAGCGACGAAGTCTCCCCGCATCCCCCGGTGTCCTCCTGGCGGGCTCCCACGGCGCGGGTCGGCACGGCGGCGTCCGGAGGCTGATCCGAGTCCGAGTTGGCGTTGGAGATAGACCCGCTCAGGTCCCCGAAGAGCCGGGGACGCAAGCTGTAGCACAGCCCCATGTTGAAACCAATATTTGTCTGTGAATGTGATTTCTCATAAATTAAAATAGCCCAAAAAAAATAGCAGTTGCGCCACCACCAGCCCTAACGAGCCATCGTCACATTGGAGCTCCAGCGGTGCGATTTAAGTCCCAAATTGAGCCGAAAATGTGAATGAATTACGCTCCGACATTTGCTATATGTCATTTTGCATTTTCCCCAGTCAGCCTTCTCTTCGTAGTTAGTAGATCACCTGATCCTTTAGTGGACACTGCGGGTCCATCTTACCGTAAGTAACCAAAAGCACAACCTTGGGAAAAAAACGCTACTATCCGCTGCGCAGACAGTCAACAATCTGACTGCACAGTTGTTAGGTGCAATGCACGGCACGTCATGCTACCACAGTATGGCCATTTCGAGAATGCTGGTCATGATTTTCATTCCTCACAGTTCATTGCCTGCATGCCTAAAGACAACCTTCTGCCCTGTAGATAGTGAACCTGCTTTTTTATTATCAGACCAATGACACACCAATAATCTTTATTTATTTAACAAACGTGTCGAATAAAATGGCAACCCTTTGGAAATGGAAAATATTCGAAATGATATTTAAACTTCTAACAGTTTTTGAGTTGATTCACACAAAGATAATTACGACAATTGAGGCGTTATTGTGTTTCCTAAAACAGAGCTTTATTACACAAACCCTTATACATTACAATATAATTTCTTTATATGACCCTTTTGATTATTTTATTTTGTCAGTGTCATTTACCGGATATCTAAATATACAGGACCTTTTTATGAACCCTAAAGCAGTTTAAGTGTCCATGTAAATATTGTGGATAAAACATCCGGTCTTCAAGTCGGGAACCAGGGACATTTCAAGGGTCCTTGGGTTGGCATCCGAGAGCTCCACAGAACAATAAGGATACTTTTATTTTGCAATCCAAACGCAGTAAAATGTACAATACAACACAATGTAGTTTAGTCTACTCAGCTACATTGTGACTTTTTGTGCAACAACACAATGTAGTTGTTTTTAGGTGGATGGTCACTGGAATTAAGTATTAACTGATTGGGGTCATTTGTGACATGCGTAATTACTCAAGGGTCCAGAAAAAGGTGAATTTACCTGCGTTACAGGGGCCAGTCACAATCAGATGCAGGGTTGAACATGAGCCACTAGATGGAGCACATGTAACATAATACAGCACAATATCTCAGGTACATTTAGAACAGAACAACACGTTAGTCATATAAGCCTTATGTAGCTTTAAAGTAAATACACGAAGAGACTAATTTCCACAAAAACACAAATATGAGGCTACCGACTGGCCCTCAGACACCCTAGATATTGTGTGAATCAATGGAGAGCTCCAGACCTAGAGGTTAGATCTGTTTTACTACTGATTTCTTCTCGTCACACTAGATTTCAAATCATTACATCGAAGACATAGAACATTTTAAAATGCTTATTTCATTATAATTTAAATACTTGTATTTATACACATCACACTATTATTTTTGTGTTATTTCTGATTTTTATTTAATATATTGTATACTATTCTAGGTGTATCATCGTGCATGATATTGTTCATATTATTAGTACATTCTTGTGATTTTTTTAAAAGTCTCTGCGTTGCCTAGGAGCCCGGAACCTTCGTTGTAAGCGGACAGAGCTGGTAAGCGTCTCTTCATCACCTCTTCTTCATCCACTGGCTCTCCTGTATGTGATCAGTGTTAGACAACACAGGTAAAGCCCTCTGATTCAGAACCGAATTCATGAATGTAGTTTAGGTTTGCAAGATCACAAATCCATCACACCTTACAAAATGTGTCAGCACGTGTCCTCCACGCTCCCTCGCCAGCTAAACCTCCACCTTCTTTCATCTTCACATCTTCATCAGCACAAACATGCCCCCCATACTGTACATACTGTATCTAGTTAAGTGTAACTACTGATATAATCATTGTTTGGTAAAAACTGTAAATTACGTAAAAAAACGTTAGATTTCAAAATCTGTATCCAGGTTCTTATAATGAGGTTATAGTTGAGCAGTTGATATGAGGCAATGTATTAAAAACACCAACCCTAATGCTAGTGCACTATATAATATTTAATAATTAATCCTTGCAGAACATTGTCTGTCTTTTTAGTTTTTCAAGTCCTTTTTTATTTGCAACAATGAAACTTGATGGATTGAAGAATAAGGAAAGACTGTGCTGGTGAGATTTAAAAAAAACAATTCTTATGACCGGAAAAAATAAATAAAACAGTGACAATAAAATAATTCTGAACCAGATTAGCATAACACAGAGACAAAGATACAAAAAAAAAAAATATATATATATATATATTTATATATATATAATCAATAATGATAGTGACAAAATTAAACACATGCATATGTGAATTGCTGGTGAGCATGATGGCTTACAAATTCTAGAAAAGGCTCAAGGAGAGAGAACTCTTAATTATTAATAAGCCCTTTAGTTATAACCCCTTTATAAAGGATAACGTTTTAGAAAGTTGTCGGTCCCGACTAACTAGTCCACTCTTACACTAGTTTGACCCCTCTAACCTATTATGTCATTTGTAAATATATTGGCCCTAATTTGTTCAGGTCTGTTCTCTTAGGTCTTTGGAAAATGTGTTCTTTGGTCAAAAGCATCCTCCGAGTGGCAGTCAAATTGTTTTAAATGGCATTCTCACACCTCAAAACCACTGGCTCTCCTGTATGTGATCAGTGTTAGACAACACAGGTAAAGCCCTCTGATTCAGAACCGAATTCATGAATGTAGGTTTGCAAGATCACAAATCCATCACACCTTACAAAATGTGTTAGCACGTGTCCTCCACGCTCCCTCGCCAGCTAAACCTCCACCTTCTTTCATCGCCACTCTGCAGAGAGAAAGGTAAAGGATGTGCCCTCATGTTTTATTTCAGTGTTTCTTAAGTGGAAGCCTCACAGTAGCGGCAGGGTAGAGCAACGTAGGGGGCCGTTGATCTGTGAAGGGATGTAACTGTGCTTACGATGACCAACTCTTTGACCGTGTGGAACTGTCAAGGCTCCTCGGTGACTGAGAGGCAGGGCTGTCTGTGGACGATGAGCCGCTACACCACGCTGAAGCAGCTGGGGGCCGGCATGTATGGCGACGTGTTCCTGGGAAAGAGCAATGACACTGGGGAGCAGGTGGCTGTAAAGAGGTGAGTGTGGCTCCAGTAAACATGCCTGAGGGACAAACTGAGTTGTTTTGTCGCAAAGCATTAGGCTGATTAAACCCAGAGCGACTGCTGCAATATGCTTCACGGCTCTAGACTCAAACATGTTGCATCCTCAAATGAAAAAAAAGAAACATTTTGTGTCAAATGTGATGCCTTGGTGTACATTGTCGGTAGTATTGCTACTATACAGTATATTGTCATAACATCCTTATTTGCATGTAGACCACATTTTAAGGATTAGCTGTTTCAGATCTTTGGCAAGAAATAATAATGAATGTTTCGCAAGACTGCTTCAGGCACTGTTTGTAAATGTAAGGTTATAGAGCAAGCTGATACTACTGACGACAGGGAAAGAAGTGAAAGCACACCGCATAGTGTTGCTCCTTAAAACAGGTTACACATGCACAATATTACAATGTTTAAATATTACAATATTACATAGAGATCTACTAATGTTATAATGGGTACAACAGGGATGCAACATTTTTGGAGCCCATAGTCACCATAAAGAAGTATTATACAGTGGCTTTTATTTGATGTTTTTCAACACGTGTGTATTGAAAGAAAACTCAAATGACTACATAATTATACAAACAGGAGTAAACCAGAGTCAGTGTACGTTGTGTGATGTACTGTATATTCGCAGCAATTGATCCTTCCAATAAAAAAAACATGTTTTGCCCCTTTGTGTGTATCTTTATTAGCTCATGTTACTTATAATTAATACGCAGCATATATATTATATTAGCCTGATAATCAGACTGAAATGACATATCTCTGAAAATAGTCACGCAAGTCTGTTTTTTCCCCAACAGGATGAAGAGCAAGTTTCATTCTTGGGATGAGTGTTTGAATCTAAGAGAGGTGAAGGTGAGAATAATTACAGTCAAACAAAAAATCTCCACTAGTTGATACAGCAGCTTTTGACACAGTATAACTGCCATATTTGGTAATTATGATCATTTTAAACCACCAATCTTTCTGCTTGTATTTGCAACAGTCATGTATTATAGTAAAAGCAAATGATATCTAATATATACCACATACATGTATACTTGATATTTTAAGCTTCAATCAGTGCTGTTTTTAACCATATAAATAGGTATATTAACACATTATTCAAGCATTTTAGTTATAAATGAGCATTAGTCCTAGGCCTACTGTATATCTAGTCTTAACTTAAACAGGGAAGATGTCTGCTTCAAAATGTCGCTTTTAATTCTGTTGACTACGTGAGTGAGAAAGTGTTAAATTAACATTACATGAGACTGTGTGTGAAAAAGCACTGACAATAAAACTGTTCTTGACATGCAATGCTTTTTGTACATCAACCTTTTGGAGATGAGTGAAAAAGCTTCACACAAAACACTGTATTGAAGTATTTAAGGTTGTGAACTTACACGATGAGCTGATTCTCAACGACTCTATTGTATGTGTCTCCGAAATACTTTTGGATGTCAGTCACTGAAGAAGCTGAACCATGACAATGTGGTGAAACTAAAGGAAGTCTTTAGAGAAAACAACTACCTCTATTTGGTCTTTGAGTCTATGGAAGAAAACCTCAATCAGCTCATGAAAGGAAGGTAAGAACAAATCCGACAGCAAAATGTGTTATTTTTTCTGCTATAACTCTGCAATTATCTGGGTCAGACTGAGTCATCATGTGTCGGTCTTTGGTTTTTGCAGAGACAAGTTGTTCCCTGAGTCAGTCGTCAGAAAAATGACATCTCAGATATTACAGGGACTGTCCTATATTCATGAACATGGTAGGTGACTTCCAGCGAGGCCTTTCAATACAAACAGTTTTTTCTGTGTTTTCAAGCTGTCAGCACTGTCCTGGTGTAAATAGTTCATAATTGCGCAAACAGAAAACAATGAAACTAACTGTGAAAAGCACATGAATGGTGGACATAAGACATCAGGCATCACAGCCAAAAATGACTCACTTCTCCTGTGAGAAGAGGAGGTGTGAGTGGTACCGAAGCTTAATTTAACACGTTTATCGCTCTTCTATCAGCACTGGTCCTTGTGTGTGTGCTGGTGTCTTTCCCAGTTCAATAAGGCATGCTTGTTTGTTGATGGTGTTTTTCTTTTCATCCCTTCTTTCTTTCTTTTCTCTTTCACCACTTTTGCCGCTGCCAGGGAAGATAGATGTTTTCTGAAAATGAGATAAGGAACATTCTGTTCCAAGTATTGTCTGGCTTAGCATTTGTGCATAAGCACGGTAAGAGACTCCTGCTGTCTTTCACTTTTCCTTTCCAAGGCTTGGCTTGACTGTGCTTTGTCAGGATAAAACATCTTTTTTATTTGGTCAGAGACGTTTTAACTCTGTGTTTCACATCTTAAAAAAGTCTGATCAAAGTATGTGCATCAATAGAGAGTCATGTAAGGTGATAGTGGTAGAAACTTAGAGGCAATAACTCTTTTGTTTGAGAAAATAATGCAAAATCGAGACAAACATCAGCATCAGCACAGGTTTAGTTGACTGTCTCGTGTCTTGCAGGGTATTTCCATCGTGACATGAAACCGGAGAACTTGCTCTGCACGGGCCCAGAGCTGATTAAGATTGCTGATTTTGGACAAGCCAGAGAAATCCGCTCGCAGCCACCTTACACTGAATATGTGTCCACAAGATGGTGAGACAAATGTCTTCTACAAGTCTAGAGCAAGTGATTCCTGAAAACGAGCTGTGTCACAGTAAGGCCTGCTGTGATATCACGTAGCTTAGCTCTTAGATTAAATTGATACTGACAAGAGAAATCCGACTAGACAGAGGATAATCTACGTTGAGATTATTGAGGCTATAATAACATTAGTGTACTAATCCTGTTGCTATCAACTAACACGTCATCATGACATCTAATTTGGGATTTGCCACCTTTGCTATGACAAAGCACCATAAAGAAAATATATCTTTGTTGTGTTGGGATGAAAGCAGATATCTCAGAGACTGACATTCACACTTGAAAAAATAAAAACATATAATATCTACATGGCTAGATACCACCAGAGGTATGTGAAAAAATATGCTCTTTTGTAATTTGACTGACCCGACCTGCTCTCATTATTTGCTCGTGAGAGACACAAACATTTATTCTGTGTAAGATAAAATAGAACAAAAAGCAATTTTAGGAAGAGTAGAGTTAAATTACTGTATGCAAATGTTCCATAAATATCCTCCCGTGCTGTTCTGACAGGTACAGAGCCCCAGAGGTTCTGCTAAAGTCAAACTCCTACAGCTCACCCATTGACATCTGGGCCGTGGGATGCATCATGGCGGAGCTCTACACACTCAGACCCCTGTTCCCCGGCAAAAACGATGTGGACGAGATCTTCAAGATCTGCCAGGTGCTGGGAACGCCGAAGAAGGTGAACCATCACAACAAGGTGTAACGTGTTATGGTTCTGCTGTCGCCGTGGATGTAACCAACCAGCATCTCTTAAATCATGGGGACATCCTCTCTGCTTGGGCCCTTGCCTTTCTATGGCGCTAACATCAAACTATCTCGTTGCTTTCTCTTGTGTCTCACCACATCAGTCAGACTGGCCTCAGGGCTACAACCTGGCTACCTCGATGAATTTTCGCTTCAATAAGTGCGTCTCCACCAGCCTCGGATCTCTGATCCCCAATGCCAGCAACGAGGCAATCACACTGATGACAGACATGCTGCAGTGGGTCCCTGAAAAAAGACCAAGTGCTGCTCAGGTACATTTAAAAACCCATTCAATTGGAACACTGATTGGTAGGAATAAACAAAAGGTTACCGTGAAGACAACTGACCGTTGAGGTGGCAGCGTTTGTTTGGAGTAACACACGTCCTTTGGTGAACGCTTTTTTCCTTACCAGCTTTAAATACCATGAGTGCATCTATTTTTAGCATTGGAGGCCCAAGTGGGAATCAATCAGCTTACCTTTGCAGTTACTGTAATACCGAACCTGACATGTGTACTGCTCAGGCAATGCACCTCCGCTGGCTTCATTGAAGAGGCAGACTTTGAAAACTTTTCCATTACTGCTGAAGCTTGAAAATTATCAAAGGTTTCCTGTGCTCCACATGTTTATGAATTTATTTTACATTTCAACCTGTAACAGGGTGAGAAATGTGCAGATTAGGTTACAAGATATATCTTGTTCTTGTCATATTCCATGTACAAAAGAACCCATTGCCTTATTTTTATGTTTTTGTCCGCATTTTCATTTTGATATGGCTTCATTTTTTATTTTATCTAAATCTGGAGCTAAAATTGAAAACAAATTGAGGATGTTTTTCCTTTGGTTTGTACTGTTTGTGTTCCAGGCTCTCCAGTATTCATACTTCCATGACGGCCAGGCAAAGATGTCCAAGGCGGAAGCAGAAACAAAGCCTCTGTCCCTCTGTAAGACGGACCTAGAGTCCAGCGAGCCAATTCGGACAAAGACCTGCAGCCGGTCTCTCCCCCAACACCTTCAGCAGATACTCCTGCCTCAGGATATCAAGGAGCTGAGCACAAAACCAGCAATGTGTTCCACCATGCTGACAGAGGGGCAGCAGGAACTTGTCAGCTTTGTGAAAAACAGGCAACCGATGAGCTGGCATGCTGTAGGTATAACTGAGGTAGAGCGACCAAATTTCACAATGAGACCTTCTTGGGACTTCATGTTTTTTTTCTTTGTATGTTCATTTTAAAGCAAACAAGAGCAGAGAACAGCATGACTGGAGTGAGGACAGGACGTTGTCAATGGGGACAGACGTCTTTCAGGTCCGTCGACATTTGGGACTGTATATATATACATATATACATATATACACATATATACATATATACACATATACATACATATATATATATACACATATACAAACATACATACACATATACATACATACATACATACATACACATATACATACATACATACACATATATATATATATATATATATATATATATATTAAATCAGCCCTATGAGCAACAAGACATGCAGCTTGACATCGCTTTCCTTCTCTCTCATGATCATTTCCCAGAATACGAAGGGGGGAGGAGCAGATCTCTGGATCACAGGGTAGAACACTTTTACAAGGAGCACAAACATCCAGCCTGTGCACGGACGAGTAGACTGGATCACCAAATACGGAGGTCACCAGTAGCGCAGCAGTCTGCTCTGCTCCACCAGTGACTCATGGGAAAAGGTCCCACTGCACTTTAGCCAGGAAATACAGACTTTAGAGGAGAAGTGTTTCCTGCTGGTCTGTTGTTACATTTGCCATGCTATTAAATATTGTTCAGTTTTGCACTAGTGTCCCATATCTTCTAGGGTCAGTATTGTTTCTTAATGGGAATATTTGTGTATGTGGGAGCACAAATTATACATTTTTCATGTCAAAAATAGATTTTTATGTAAAAAAAAAAAAAAAAAAGGTATATTAAGATATTTTCAAGATTTATGTGGTTTGTTTTGCATTCCAGCGATGATCTTCACCAGCATCAGTCCACTGAAAAGAGACATTTAAATCAGGAAACAGTTGAAAGAAGGACTGAAAAGTAAACGTGTTCATTCTTGTTTGTCTCAACAATTTAATAAACAATTCTTGTTCATTAAAGCAAATGTTAACAGTCTCCATGGTGCAGAATTTTGTAAATGGTTATCCCAGAAACAGTCAGAGGAAAAGTAACATCTGAAAAGAAAGACTTGTGTGTTACCTTAATAAAGTCATTAAACCAGCTGGCATGAACTTCCAGGAGTTGAGAAATCTCAGTCCCATCACCACAGCCAGAGTTCCCGAGGTGCCTGCAGGGAAACCGCGTTAGTGAAAGCTGCGTTTGGACCGTCACAGTTTACCAAACTAAACTTGCTCACCAAGTGAAAGCCAGACATTCTTGGGATTTTGAGATGCCAGATAAGCGCCGACTGCAGCCAACAGGCCGAACAAGAGCCCTGCAGCCAGAGAGGTGACGCTGCCTGTGGAGGGACAACAGTTGGGTTTATTTTGAAATCAAGTGTTGAATTAAATTTGATGCATTTGACAACCTCTTTTACATCAGCACCACAAAACCTCCTAAATGATCATAAAGATGAATCCAAAACTGTTTCAACAAATACTGATTGATTAATCAAGAAAATGATCAGCAGATGAATCCTTAAAAAATTAGTCATTAGTTGCAGACCAATATGAAATAGTTCAAGATGAGCTCCACCTCAGCCAGCAGTAAAATCCTGCCTTTAGATTAATGCATGAGTAATGATAATCTATAATATAATATAACAGTACATCAGTCATATGAGACTACTTTGCATTGAGTACTATTTTCCCGATCATAGTTAATACCTTTACTCAACCTTTTCAATGCAGATATTTCCCTTATTACAGAGTATTTCTACAGCGTCATATTAGGATCTGAATGACGTCACTTCCTCCACCTTTGCACAGTTAAGCTAACTATTAAAATATAAATAAAATATGTCGGTGCATCTCTCCTACCTGCTTTCACATAACCGATGATTCCTCCTGCTGACACCAGAGCAGCATAGCTGAACCCAATCCAGTCTACAGCCATGTCGGGAAACCAGGAACTTCCTGCTGCAGAACTAAATCCGTTTATTATGAGGAATAGATTTACCAGCACTTCACCACAATCTGGTTAGTTATGGCAACAAAGAATCTGCCAATCATGTTTAATATCAAAATATCACACCAAACATACTAAAAATAACCCAAACATGAGTCTTACCTGAATTTAGAACAACTTTAAGCGAGCACCAGTTTCCTACCTAGCAACTTCCGAATGTTCACCTAATTATCTCACTTCCGGCGTCATTTCAAAATAAAGTTGTTTTTTTTCCCCAATTCTATTTTTAGAATAGTGACAAAGAAAATAAAAAAGTGAAGCCTCGTAACCTACGTACGCATATCTTGAATACATCCATTAAAACATACATTCAGCAGCTGTGCCATATCACCTCTGTGTGGTATTGGTGTTATAGCACAAAATCAAAAGCAGTCTACGGGTTATAAAACATTTTTTTATTGTTGCCCATCTCATGTTCCATTGTTATTCCTCTTATACAGCAAAATATATTCACAAATCTGTACTTTATGACCTCCGTGTCGCAACCACAAGAAGCACATGAATATGTGACCAAGTCAAGATATAAAACAGTCGATAAATGATAAAACAGATTGATTGTCCATTTTATTTTCCTCCGCCCTTTTTCTTCTTTTTGGGCTTGCTCTCGTCTTCTAGAATTACTTCTTCTGCTGCAATTCGGACTCTCTTCGTCTTTGAAAGCTCCTGAATGAGTTCTGTGGACAGAAGCAAACAGATTTATCTGGAGTTCAGTAAGAGAAAGCTGAACCACCCACAGTGCATCGGAAATCAAAATGCCTTAATATACCCTCTAATATCTAGAGCTCAAATCTCTTTCTTAATATGACGACGCAGAAGCGCGACGAGAGCGAGCGTTTGCAGGACAACTACCTTTAGATGTTGTTGCCTCAGCTGCAGGTTCCTCAGCGGTCTGCTGCACCGATGAAGGTCTCCACACAGCCAGACACGTCAGTCGGGCTGTTGTGTTCACTTCCCCGAGGAGAGTGGGAGACTCCAGCTCCTGTTGGACAGTGCATTGCTACATTAACCGCAGCTCGGCAGGTAACAACAGTGTTGTTTTGCTCATCTTTGTTTTTATTCTTATAAAAGGTTTTATATGGCTGATTTCTACTACTTATATATGAAAATCTTATTTGAGTAATTATTGCTTTTAAAATAACTTTATTATTCTGCTTTGCAAAGTAGAATATGTCATTAAGTAATGACGCTATGGGATATTGTATTTTAACACTTAATCTGTAGCTGCAAATGTAAATGTTGAATTTGGTTGAAGTTACAAGTAAATGGTTTAGGCTCAAATGTTCATGAATAACACGAGAGACGTGCCTCTTTTAGATGGAGTTTCCACATTTTGATGAATCCGTCGTTTGAAGCCGTTACCAGCAGGCAGTAATCCTCCATCATTAAACTGTCGATCGCCTTCACTCTATAATCACAAAATAAAGGTTTGTTCACTTACTTTTCACCAATATGACATGAGATTAAAAAAATAAGCATGTCTGTGAGATGAAGATATTATTAGCAATAAAAAAAAAATCAGTGAGTTTCATGCATTTCATTCTGACAAAGACAAGTCCAGTTCTCATCATCAGAAGTGTGTTTTTAGAAATGCAGCTCTAAAATAATCTGAAAAATTAAAACTAAAAACATGTGAATTTACCTGGTTTCATGAGCCTTGAACTCACACACCCATTCCTCTTTACTCAGGTCACATAACCTCACAAATTCATCGCCTCCTGCGATGGCCAGGACGGAGTTCTGAAATACAAGCAGGATTATATTTATTTAAACTTAATCTAATGTTGCTTATTTCCGTCGTATCTCGGTTGAAAAGCAGATACCAATAATCTCAACCACAACAATCTCTATATCACATTTAAATGCCAGTGCAAGTTTCTAGTCAGAGAACTCGCATTTATGAACTTGACAGACGAGATCCTCTTGGTGTTTGTGACGGTTCCGATCACAGAGGCCGTCTCCAGGTCGTAGACGTTCACTTTGTCGTTCACCACGGCCACGTATTTATCCCCGTCTGGAGACCATCTCACAATGTGTGCATCTGTTGAAAGGGTTTTGGGGGAAAAGAAAGTTTGAAGTCATTTCAAACATACTAATATTATTAAAAGAACTTCAACATTTCTTAACTTCAGAATCCAAGGGGAGGCTTACTCTGCTTTATGTTTTTGATGAAGGCCGATCTTCCGTTAATTAGATTCCATGTTCTAAAAGGATTAAAACAAAAAAAGATGCAACAGTCATTTCTGATTCCCTGATAAGTAAATGTTCTGCCGCACAGACTTTCCAGCAGAGCTGTGACTTTTACCTGAGAGTCTTATCTGTCCCAACTGAAAGCGCAAGTTTCCCAGACGGATGCACGGACAGCGATGTGACATGACCTCTGAGGAAAACAAGATAAAGTCAGTTATTTTAACTCGTTCCATTCAACAAAACACAAGACAATAATCACATAAACATGACCATCTCAGGGCTTCAGCAGCGTCACATCTCTCTCTCTGTGTGCTTACTGGTGAGCTTTGATGGATTTCAGACACTCCCACTTCTTTGTGCTCCACACACAAATGAGTCCATCCTCTCCTCCGCTCAGTAAATGAGACGTCCCATAAAACTCCAGGCAGGTGATGGTGCCTGTGAAATAGAAGGAAGTGAAGGGTCAGGTCTTTACTTTCTGTACACTTTGACAAACCTTTTGATGACATTTTATATTTGTTGTTCCAGCAGTAAAGAAAATGAATTAAGTCTATGAAGCTGTCTGGATAAATATGCTGTAATTCAGACCCTAGTAGCCATTTATGACTGCAAATATTGAGGCAAAATCAGTTTGATACGATACATATACCACAAACTGGCAAAGTAGTCAGGAGAACGTGGCATGAAATAGTGGGAGAGACAAATAGCAGGATTGCTGGGTCCTAAAAAACTAAGAAGCTGAAAAACTCAGATAAACCACCACAATAAAAATGTTTTTTGAAAAGCACATCTGTATAAAAACTTCTTAGATCAAAGAGGACGCATGAGCAATTATTTCTATGTTGTTATGATGTGACGTGTGTCAAAATCCCCCCAAAATTTGATATGTCAAGTTCACAAACACATGCAGCAGTCTGATCAAGAAATCTAAATGTTTTACTAAATGTATTTTGTTGGAGTTAGAAGAAAACCCCCCAAAAAAATAATATTTGTCTTTGCCTTTCTATCCATTCACACATCCTCCATCTCAGCTGCACATAAGCTGATGTCAAACAGAAGACGCAATGAAGACACTCACCGTCGTGATGCAGCAGAGCTCCGTGTTCGACCCTCTTCTTCATGTCGTACAGCTGTATGGTCTCATCTTTGCTTCCCGTGACGACAAACCTCTCGCTGGCTGCCGCAGCTGATATGGAGGCTGTGTGTGCGTGATGTGTGAACTCCGCCTTGGCTGTCCATTCCTGCATGACGCACAAAAACACAACTAATGGACTCTTTGCAATAACTCAGGTGCTGAGCCTGGGGAGGAAATAAACTCACTGTTTGCAAGATCTGCCAGCTTTAAAGGCATGAACAATCAGAGAGTACACTGTCCATCATCACAGTAAACAACATTCAACATTTGGTCATAGTATTAGCACACAGGCTGTTGTCCTGTATAACTTCCCATCAACCCCAGCGACAGTTTAGTTTACAAGAAGTCAGGGCAGACCATTCGTGGACATAAACGTTTAAACACAACCATACAACAAGATAGTCCAACTTACTTTCTCGTCTGTTTTGACCCGGTAACCAAAGGCTATCTGCTCGTAGCTCCCAGCAATCAGTCCCAGCACAGCTGCCATGCTGCCACTTGTAGCTACAGAGTGCTAAGCTAGCCCGGCTAGTTAGCTTTCTTTAAACTTCAGCTTTCTTTCTGTCGCCCAATTTGGGCAACAGCCAATAACAGCTACAAAGAGTCCAAGCAGAGACGATAAACAACGTGGGGAATCTATATCTACTAGTAATATCTACTGGCTATTTTTTGCCAAAACAACGTGTGAGGCTGTTGCGCATGCGTAAAATCGACTTCCTCCTGTCTGGTAAGTAGTGGTTTTCAGAATAAAAGCCGAGGTTTTTTTTACGCGTCAATGCAATTATGTAAATACTTTTCACAATGTCACTTTTCAAGTATGTAGTACTCGCAATTCTCAAAATTGGTTGGGAGTTTAGAGGTGTAACTGTCTATTTAAAAATGATAAAACCCCTAATCCTCACCCTTGTTATAACAACACGTTTTTCATATCTTTAATAATTTAACAAGAAGACATTTCATTCCAGAACAGCCACTGACCTTAGTAGCCTTAAATTGATTCATTTGGATGCAGACATTTAAGACAAAACTCAGTCCATGTGTTTTTCTATATTGCAATTACTAGGCGACATCTATGATAAGCACAATTTACTCACACACAGTAAGCCCACTGTACAATATTAATATGTATTAGTACAACTACAGGATGGGGTCCGCCCTCGTCATGACAGAGGGGAGGGGCGCGGACGTCTTCGGGTCTTGTCATTGGCTAGTTCCCTTTGGATACGTCATGATTGACGCCTCAGATAATTGTCCGCTTGAAACGTTTATTTTTTATTGAGAGGATTAGATATCAGAGTAACTTTTTCAACTGAACGGAGTCATGGCGAGGAGGTAAGCTTTGGTGAAAATAGCAGATAGATCAGAATGACTTATATTTTAAAAGTTTATTTTTTTTAATGTGCATTCTTTGTTATTTGCTGATTAATGACACTTTTAAACAAATCTCGACGCTTTGTTTCTACTCAAGACAAAAATATTTGATGTAAATATTAGCCAAATTGTATCACAATACTTCTCAGGGTCCTTCTTGATGTTAATAAGTGAAGTCTGTTTTGGTTTTATTTCTGGTTCAGACCAACAGCTGTTCTCAGTGCAGATTGCAGGTTTTGTACAGTCTGGATGTTGCGCATTAGAGTTTGTGTTTGTTTGTATGTGAGAGCTGCAGGGGTTGTGATGAGTGGGTTGAAATACACAACAGCACAAACAGGACAAGACTAGGCTAGAAACAGACTCTGCTGCAATAAAAGTGTGTGGCTGTCCCCCCTCGTGATATTCTCAACTGTAGCCGGGCTAAATCAGAAACAGAGAAGTTTCTGTATTAGTGTGAGCTCCTTCCTGTCATTTGCTTCTTACTCAACTTTCCCCCCCCCCAATGAGTCAACCATCCGCTGTTCTTTTATATGGCAGGAAGTGTTAGTGGTATCATAAAACAGCATCTGAAGGTGTTTTCATCTCATGTTACAACCTACGATAAGAGCCAGTTATAACTGTATGATGGAGATGGGGTCTTTTTGTGGAGCCATGGTTTTCTCAACTGGTCTGTCAGTTTTCTAACAAATAACACACCCCCCCCCCCCCCCCCCCCCCACCAAAACATGTCCTTGGAAACAAAATAATAAGATAACAGAAGACCTCCAGCTGCTGTAGGCTGCTCTATTTAAAAATTGCAAATTAAAGCATGTGTGATTTTGCTCTCACGTGTCAGAGAACCTGCAACATTGGCTAAGTTTTAATCTAAAGATGAGATGCACTAAGACTTTTATTAATATGCTTTAAAAGGAAAACAGGAACAAAATAGTCAATGTGCAAGATGACCTTTGAAATCTACAATACTCAATATGGTTCGACGCATGTTTGAGTTGACAAATGTCAAGATCAAATTGTAGCTGCATTTGTTTGAAAAGGTAATTTCACCACACACAAAAACATTAATCCTCTTTCCTGTTAGTGGTACTTAGTCTGGCAGATAGTCTGGTTTTATTTGCAGGGGTTTTGAGATTTCTGCTGCCTCAAAATCAAATAAAATCAAAACTTCCAACATGGACGCAGCTATGGGGAAACGTTTTTCTTTTGTGATTTGGGTGAACTGACCTATGACTTCCAAGCAATGTTATTATTATACTATCAAACAACATACACAGTAATTCATTCATAAAACACGTGAAATAACAATCAAGAAACATGTAGAAAATCACAAGCTGTTATCTACTGAGTCACCAGAAGTTTGTCGTATGGATGGTTTTGGTATATTACTGCAACTTGCTGTTAACTTTAATCAAGCAACCCATTTTGACAAGAGGGTAACGTGACTAAACGTCACTATTTGATTGGTTTAACTGATGAATTCATCAGTCGGGGTAAAACAAGCGACCTCTTTCAAATTCATACTGGCCGTGAAGCACAAACAGTTGCTTCATCATTGATTCCTCCCGTCCCAGGGTACAACGTGCAGCAGGACACTGAGTCACAGTAGCTGCTGTGGAGGAACAGCATTTACTTTGGTAGATTTCCTCCACTCTAGTGTTGAACACCTGAGCCCCCCAGGGTTGTGTGATGATTGTTGATTTTAGAAAAAAGGAGGCAGAGATGCACACCTCTATCTACATGAATGGAGCCGAGGTGGAGCAAGTTAGCAGCTTTAAGTTCCTGGGAATCAGCATAACTGACAACCTGAATGGTGATCACACATCTCCATCCTGGTGAAGAAGGCTCATAAACGGCTGTATTTCTTAAGGAAACTTAAGAAGGTAAAAAATTCCTGTGCCAAGTTCTTGTCAACTTTTACAAAGGAGCAATAGAAAGCATCCTGACTGGAAACACAAACTGGCATGGGATGTGCACGGCACAGGACAAAAGGGCTCTAAAGCGGGTGATTAAAGCCGCCCAGAATATAATTAGTACCAATCTACTGAGCATCAGTGATATTGTCGAGAAGAGGTGCCTGTGAAGAGCTAAAAGGATATTAAAAGACAAAACCCACCCCAGTCACAACCTGTTCACCCTGCTGCCGTCTGGAAAGAGATAGAGAAGTATCAGCAGCTGAACCACCAGACTTGTGCAACCCTGTTGTACAATAACAGTAAAATAACCGTGTAACCTTGTATGTTTGAAAAAAAAAATCCTCGTTAGTTTGAGGAGATTCCAAAACATGTGTTTCAATGTCAGAAACAATTTTATGATATTGCACCATTTCTGTTTTGTCTACTGCTACTCTACTTAATTCACTGCATTTACTTTCTTTGCCGTTTCACAGTCAAGAAGCCAATGAGGAGCTCACTGAGGTGCTAAACCAACTCTGGCGCCTGGATACCAACCGCCTCAAACCGGAGACTGATTACATCATTTCCCTACAGGTCAGTAAAAGTCTGCCTTCATCGCTTCTCTGCAATGCAAAACACTCAGAGATACTGTACATGTAATACATGTAAACCCCATGCAGTCAGTTGTCCTGCCTTTTGCAGTTACATGCTGATGTCTGTCTGTGTATTTGTGTGCGTTTTGCTCAGGGGAGGGCAGGTTATGTGGCTCAGGGCAGCAACTATGCCAGAGACCGGGCCAGGGCGCCGCTCTTCACATATGTCAACGAAGACAAACTCAAGGGCATCGAGACATATTTCCGTAAGAAGCAGTTCATTGTTCCCCCCCCCCACATTGCACTTATTTTGCTAGAACCACCAATATTATTTAAACATGCATGTGTTTTTTTTAAAATGCAGATTTCATCAACTTGCTGGACAACTACGAGTCGTCCACAGGTGTATCAGAGAAGGTGACGTCAGAGGAGCTTCAAGAGAACAGGCTCTTCATCGATTCCATGATGGAGACCGATGTCATGAAGGTGCAGTGGCTGTGAGAGAGAGATTCCCTGCTTTAATAACACATCCATTATCACAGTCAAAACACACTGATCCTACACAGCAGCTGTTTACATCCTGAAACGCTGACAGTTTCAAGGTGCTTTTTACTGACTAGTTTGATGTCTTCCACTCCGACACATTTTTTATAATCATTTAGTTACAGGCCAGATGAGTTCCCATAACAAGAAGCATATAAACTAAAAGCTTTTAGCATGATGGGAATTTTAAAGAAACTAAGCTGCAGTTGCACAAAAGAGTTTACCTTCAATATTTAGTAGAATGATTTTAATTCATACCATAACAATATAAAAATACCATACTGTCACTGTTGTGTTTTTACCAATGTGTGTGTTAAAACCTTGACTTGATGTCTAAGGGAATGCAAAAAAGATGGAAACAACATCGTAAGAAAAGGCTACAGAAGCACTTTAAGTTCATGAGTGGTATTTTACATAAAAATGATTAACTGAAAAAAACTACAAATAGAAGCAAATAAGTCGTCAGGGTCTCCAAGGACAAAATAACAAACAAGATCCTACACTAGCTACAAGATAAAAACTCCATTATTCTACCGAGAACAACAAGATAATACTAAACATCTATAAAGCAGGAAAAAAAAAAATAATAATAAAAGAAATGGCAGATAAACCTTACAAGAGTTCTCTAAACAAAGTCGCCATGACTAGAAAAAACTAAATACCAAGGTTTTAGCAGAGCTGTGTCACGTTTCACCAGTTACCCTCCACCACAGAGCAGCAGACAGCCCAAGGGCCCAAAGGGACAGGAACACGCACTCTGGGAGCAGATATGCAGCTCCACTGATTGTTGAACGAGGTCCAGGTGTGATCAGGCCCTCAGGCGTGGCCGATCTCAGACAGTTCTGTTCTAATAAGAGGCTATATGTTTAGGATATATTTTTATGCAATTTACTTATAATAAGAGTTTCAAGTCAAAAGTGTTGCTGTTTAACAAAACAATCTCAAAACAAAGTCAGTCTGCTAGCAATTATGGAAGGAAGCTTAGTGGTTATGGATGTAGATGGCACTTTTAGGACTTTTCCTCCATATCTGCTTAAAAGTCCGAAACACTTTAACTGTTTCAGAGGTCAAGATTGAACTTTCAGTCTCAGACATAATACAGACAGCTTTAGCCTGACCAACTATCTTTATCATCAGTATGCTCTATTTTCTTATACTGTTCTTCTAAACTGTTCTTTGATCATAGCTTGACTTGTCATCATGCTATTTGTTTTTTCTTTATAGTGTGCTCACCAGTATCTGGTCAGGAAGGGGCAGTCGCCATCAGACTCTGGGCAGTTCAAGAGACAGCTGTATGACATCTGGTTCCGCCTCTACCACAGGGACAGGAGTGGAGGGTGAGTTTCACAATAACAGCAGGGGGAGCTATACTGTAATGAAGGAAGACACGATGCTGGAGGTTAGAGCACAGGTTTATTCATCTACAGCAGGGGAGGCCAAACCTTTTTGACTGTGGGCCATATACAGAAAAATGTAAAGAGGCATGGGCCAAACAATAGTAAATATGTAGTTTTCAACCAGTTCACTGCAAGAAAACAGTGTTTCTACAGTAGTTTATTGTATCAACCAATCTTTGAAATATGTTGTTGTTTTTTATTACAGAGAGGATTCCTGTGGGTTTGAACATGTGTTTGTGGGAGAAACCAAGTACGGCCAGGAGATCATGGGTCTTCACAACTGGGTCCAGTTCTACCTGCAGGAAAAACACGACCATGTTGACTACAAAGGCTACAAAGCAAGAGACAGGAAAGATACAGTAAGGAAATACTGTGTCCTCGTGTGGATTATGAAGAATCTGAACACACTGAGCAGAAAATAAATGAGCTTTTTTCGTCGTTGTTTTACAGCCTGATGAAGATGACCATGTCCTGAACCTGCAGTTCAGCTGGAAAGGTTTGGTGAAGCCGGTTGGTGGCTGCTTCATTGGTGTGAGTCCAGAGTTTGAGGTGGCTCTCTTCACCATCATCTTCCTCATGTCGACTCAGAAGATGACGTCCGTGGTGGTGAAAGTGGACGAGTACGTGCTGGAGCTGGTCGTCTATCGGCACGGACGATCCATCGGCACGTCCTACCCCAAACTGCTCAGCAGCAACCACAAGGATTTGTAATATCACTCCACCAAAGCTGTCGGATATTGTGTAGACATTTACATTTTCAACTATTTGTGTGACACTTTCATTTCATTCCTTTACAGTTCGTGACACAGTATAAACCTATAAGATAAGTCTGGATCAGGTTCTCTTTGCACTAAACGCCAGGCTTAAACTGTCTATAATGAGTTTTCAGCCTAAACCACCTGATCTGGACTGATATCATGGAAGGAGTATATCTTGTCACAATCATTTATCTGTCTGGTTCTGTATACTATTATGGCGTAAATAAAAGTGTCTTTGTCTACAAAGAAGTTGTGACATTGTTATTCTCCCCTGTTTGTGAAATAAGACCAGATGGTTCACAAGATTTAGAGAAATGAAACTTAAGAAGTGGTTTGACTCTCTTTTTAAGAGAGTCAAACCACCGGTTATTTCTGAGAACTGTACCTTTAAAATGAGCATTGGACGATTCCTCGCTTTGCGCATGCGTACTCAAACAAATCATGTCAAACCACAGAAATGAAACTGTTCCTCTGAAACCAACCTGAGGATGTGCTGAACGAGCAGGTAAAGACAACCGCGCTTTTAAAGCTGGATACACTTCTCCTAGATGTTTAGTAACAGTAGTCTTATACCTTATAAACTAACTTTTCCTGTTAGAGGCGACAAACATGGTCAGCTAACAGCTAGCCGTGCGGCTAACGTAGCCGTCAGTTGGGCAGCTCGTTACCACTCCGTCTGTTAGGGAGCCACCTGACAACCGCTCACATGACTCAAATAACTGCTGTCCGACACATTGCGACAGGAAGAAGATCATTTCAGTGTGTTTCTGTTTGCAGTTTTGGGATCGTTGGAGTGTCACTTAAGGGGCTTGTTAAACAGCAAGCCACAACAACAACAACAACATCATGTTTGGTAAAAAGAAGAGAGCACCGCAGCCCAGAGGCCAAGGCGCTGCTGCAGCCAAGCAGGTAACAACAACAACAACAACAACATCAACAACAACCGTGAAGGTGTTTATTGTGATGTTTTCTCTTGACAATAGCTAGGTGAAGTTGATCTCGTGCTTCGTGGTTGCAGATGGGTCTGTTTGTAGACCTGGACCCAGAGGAGATGATGATGGGCATGGAGGGGAATGTGGACGACCCGGACTTGGAGGCGGAACTTGCCGCTATTACTGGCAATAAAGCTGCTGCGGGAGGGAGAGCCAAGCAGAAGGGGAAAAGTGAGTTCAGTGGTAATGATTAAAAGTCCTGTAGACAAGCCCTCTTATTAGTGAAGGGTACAAACACATCGAGATAGGATACGGGGCCAGACCTGTGTGTGTGTGTGTGTGTGTGTGTGTGTGTGTGTGTGTGTGTGTGTGTGTGTGTGTGTGTGTGTGTGTGGACATATCCTTTGTATCCACTTCCTTTTGACCATATAGTATATTATGATACAGCTATGTTGCTGAAAACCTCCTGCAACAACGTGACCATAAAATCTTTCTCCATATTTATCATCCTGGGAAAGTGGTTATGCTCTTTAGGCTCTATTTCCATTTGCATTATTATTGCATCCTCATGTAATATATGTTGTTGATCTCACCCACAAACCCAGTGCGATACAAGTCATTATGTTTGTGTCGTAGGCCCGCTGCCCATGGAAGACATCGCAAAAATGGCTGACGAGTGTATGAAAGATGTCGATGACGATGAAGATGACAGTGACCTGGAAGACGACGAAGATCTATTGGTTGGTTTTGTGTTTTATTATCTCTGGTCTCATGCCAGGGTTTGTGGCTGCCATTTACCCAACACACGTTTTAAATACACTAGAATCAATACAAGTAGCTGTACAAACCCAACAACCAACAGTAAAGCCATCGCAAAGAGAACTGTACTGCCTCTGGGCCTTTTGGCCTTCGGCTCCGAGATTTAAAAGTCGTGTTGCCTTCACACACTCACTGTGAGCTTGTAAATGGTGGATACCCAAGTATAGTAGAGTTATTGATGTGAAATAACTATGTTGTAAAAACAGTGGTACAGAGTTACTTCATGTTGCAACAGCAGAATTAACAAATATAGACTTATTTTAATACTTTGCATCTTTTTTATCTCGGCTTTTTATTTTATTGGGTCGCCAAACAACCATTTTCACACAGAGGGAGAATATCATGTCTTAGTGTCTTTGGTATCCTAAAGTGTTGATGACTTTGCTACTACATTGGTTCATGTAAGGAGTAGTTACAATAATCCCCAGAGCAATCCCAGTGTCAACATATTTAATTTAATTTATGGCGGCGTGTGGGAGGAGACCAGGAAGCTAGTGCAACGATCTGAGAACTGGAACTTAAGTCCTTTTAATTCTTGATGAACTGAATCGTTAAAGTGATTTTGTAGCCATAAAGATGATATGTCAACAAAGATATGGGCCAATTGATCCAGGCGCTGAGCCTCTTCCCAACCTAGTTAAACAACTGGAGCTGAACCAGCTCTTTTTCATTGCAAAGTTGAGCTTGACAGAGTCAGGTGTACATGTTGTAACCTGCTGTGATGACCATCAGAGGTCCACCTTATGAACCATAAACCGGAGGAAATACAAAACCCAACCTCACCTGGCAGGCATGTATGTAAAATAATGCTAAATAAATGCCTGTGCAAATACCACAGTATATATGGTAATACTCCTAACGTTCCAGTTTAATTAGTCTGTTAATTGTTGTTTATTCATTGATTTGAAGGGCCTTCATTTCATCACATGTTGGTTCACAGTTCACTTTCATTTGTCAAACAGCTGCATGTCTTACCGAACGGAAAACTTGTCTCACACGTCTGTAGTCCAGCCTTGCATGTAAACAATCTGAGTTGGCTGTTGATCAGTTGCTGTGTTTTTTTCCCCTTCAGGCAGAGCTACAGGAAGTGGTGGGTGAGGAGGAAGCTGAGGATGCCGTACCTGTTTGCTCGAAATCCTCTGCCACCGCTTCTCAAGCTGAAGCACCAGAGTCGCCAGTGACACAGGTACAATAAACGTTGCTGCCTGCCTATAACTTGACACCAGCAGCCATCAAAATATGTGTCGAAGCTTAAACTATCGTCAGTCACAGGAAAGGGCTGACGTACTGTACTCCTTGCCCTCTGCTGGTTTACATAATTTGAGATTTACATTTCCCACTCTTTCTAGTAAGTATGTGCATTCCTTTAACACATTTCCTTATATACTTGTAATACTTTGTGTGCAGTATTTTAAACCAGTGATTAAAGATAAGATATAGATGTGTTGAAATGTTATTCCCTCTTTTTATTTATCTGTGGTAAACACTTTCTCAACACCCAGTTCTGAGTAATTTATTGACCTTTAGCGTAGATTTACCAGCTGTTTTCAGATCAAGTTGACAGTACCTGCCTGTTGTTTTTGGTGAAGCATCAGGACGTGAAGGTCTCCTCGGCAGCTCCGGGCAGCCTCCAGCACACCCTGGAGGAGAGAGCTTTCATGTACAAGACGGCCTTGCAAAACGCCAAAACTGCAGGCGAGACCTCCAAAGTCAGGAGATACGATCGCGGCCTGAAGGTGAGCAAAACCACTGCCGGATGACACGTTACGTGGTCACGGTGCAGAATTACATTTTACTGTATTGTCTTATGAATTGTTGTCTTATGATTTCCAAATGTCACAAAACATTTTCACCGGATTTTTTGGTAAAAGTTTCTAATTAGGGCTTATAAATTGTAACCCATTATTATGGTGACTAAATACTTTGCCTATGCTTTATCAGTGGAAGGCCATTAACAGGTATACAATGTTTATATATTTACACATGTTCACGGGTCTCTCACTCTCTAATTAGGCATCAATTCTGCATTTTTACATGTTGAACAGTCATTAATAACGGGTTTTAATAATGCCGGTAATCAAGTCTGCAGATTTAAATGTTAAGGTGTTCATAACTGATCCCTAATAAAATATGTATGTTTCACAGCTCAAAAGTTGTTCTAATGAATAGTTTATAATTAATCTATAAAGCATTAGTAAATAATTAACTACCATTAATGAAGCCATTGGTTACAGTTTAATAACCCTTAATAAAGGTTGTCTCGCTACCGATTCCTTGTATGAATTAACATATACAATTGCAGATTGTTATTGTTGCTCTCTACAGACTCTGGAGTCGATGTTGGCGGGTATTAAAAAAGGGAGACCCGTGAACGAGGCGGAGATCCCTCCTCCTGTTGCCACTGGAGCCCCGAGTGCCACCTCTCGGCCTGCTGTTCCTCATCGACCAGCTCCCCCCGTACCCTCGCCGTCTGAACCCCCTCCTTCAGATCAGCAGGGGGAGTCAGAGGCCACGCCTGCCGTACCGGAGCTCCTCGCCCCCAGCAGTGAAGAGGAGCAGTCGTCCTCTGCCGCCCTGCTCAGTCTGAGCACCGTCCCATCTCCGGAGGAGCAGACGGAGGAAGCTGCCGTCCAGCCTCAGACCAGTCCCACAGATGGTCCGTGTGAGATGGATTACACAAAGTTATATCAGTGAACATATAGGATATTAGAGAAAGTATACATTCAGCACAACCCCAATTCATTGTTTGGCCCTCAATTTGAGACTAGTTGGTTAAATATTGGTGCATTACTTTAAATAATCCAGACCTCAATTCATACTTTGATCTTTCATCTGATTCCTCGTAATGTATTCCAGTACACTTTTCATCCAGTAAGCCTTTACGTTGTGAGCTCCTTGATATAGAGTGAATGTGAGTTTTTCACTGTGTCATTTTGTTCTTTCCTCGTGAATCCACAGCGAACGAGTCGACCAAGACGTTGCTTTTGGAGAGGCAGAAAGAATACAAGATGGCAGCTCTGACAGCCAAGAAGCAGGGAGATGTGGAGCAAGCCCGGCTGTACTTCAAGACCAGCAAGGTGAGAAGAGAGACCACAACACTGAGTCATTTGTTTCACACCAAGACAGTGTCTCCTGTGCAGGAATTTGTATCGGCAGTGTTTTGAATAAATTTGAATCCCTTTTTTTTCATAGGATATTCAAATTTATACAAAACACCGCTCGTATACATTTTTTTTCCTGGGTTTCTGTGTTGTGTGCCAGCATTTTACTCACAGTGAATCATTTAGTTTTCACATGGTGTTCACATTACTGTGTGGGGGAAATGTGCTCAATAGATGACAAGTAGTGTTACCTGACAACTTCCTTGTAGAATCTGTCGGATATTTTCTTTTGTTTTTGAAATTTCAAGATAAAAAACAAACTTTGAGCCAAATAAAATGGTTTCAATGATTTTTACAAACTTATGCAGGCAACCAGTGTGACATTCTTGACAACATACAATCATCACTATAGTCTTTCACTTGTTAATTATATAGTTGCTGAGCTACAACTGTCTTGATCCTGTCTCTATTTTTCACTCCAAGCTAAATACAGAATAAAGCCTTGTGTCTGCTGCAACTGGAAGCAAACATCCAAACTATTTTGCTCTGCAGAGCAAGTTTCTGCTGTAGGAATGTAGCAGCAGCTGCATGTGTGACAACAGACGCACTGTTGTGTTTTTAACCTGATGCTTGCTAAAGAAAAATAAATTGTGCGCTCTGTTGTCTGGGCCTGTTGCAGGATTTCCCTCTCAAGAATGTGAAACATGCCAACAATTTGGAAGTAGACAAAGACCATCGTTCTGTTTGAGAGTTTGGGTTTGCTGTACTTTGTGTTGCAGAAGTTCGATGCGGCGATTGAGGCGTTGGATAAGGGACAAGCAGTCGACCTGGGTGGCCTTCCTCCGTCTCCACAGGGTGAGCAACACTGGTATAATGTGAGAGAAGTGGAGAATGCACAACCATGCAAACGTTATTTATACAGCTCTTTTAAAAACAGAAGTTTCAAGGTGACATGCAGAAGGAATAAACAAGTCGGTCGTTTCTCTGGACAGAAACCTTGTTGTATCTGCTTCTGCGTGTTTTCATTTATGCCGTGTTGTTGTATTTCAGCGACAGGTGGAGGCTCTGCTCCAGTGAGGGAAACTCCCTCAAGGCAAAACATAGATGTCACTCAACTGGTTACAGCCGCTCCAGGTAGTAATATTATCACCGCGTGTATTCCCCTTTGCTTGTGTTGCTGCAATGGCTCAAGTTCCTTTTTAACCAGTCGTGCAGTTCTTACTTCTCTTGGCAGTATTTAATATCGATCAGCTAATGTGAGCTTGAGGCTAAACATCAGAGGTGACGTCAAAGAGAAGAGAACACACGGCTCTTTTGCTCTATATTACACACACATCAGTACAAGGGAATCAAAACAACTTTTTGACTACCAACCAAATCACCTCCACAGTTCTGAGTCAAATTCTTAGTCTAATTTATTTATTTCTGAAGTCAATACTGAGAAAACATTGTTGCCCTCAGCCGCCGCCCCTTCGGCTCCCAAAGACGTGCTGGAGGCTCTCGAGCAGAGACGGGCCAAGTACGTGGAGGCGTCCAATCAGGCCAAAGCCGGCGGAGACGACCGCAAGGCCCGGATGCACGACCGGATCGCCAAGGTACAAGGAGAGACTCTCCTCCTGATGTGTCTACATCGACAGAACTCTACTGCTGATACTGTCAGGCTCTGTTGTACCTGATTATCTATCAGTTACACGTCTAGTAAATAGAATGAAACTGGCACATTGTAACAAAATAATCAGTTTTCATCGGTGAAGTGTAGTTTAAGTTTAGGAAATATAAAGTATGATAATGTATAATAATGGCATGATAATGTATGTGGGTATGAATAAAGAAAACCAGTACAGGCATTACCAGGAATGGACAAAACAATAATGGCACCATTCTTAAAAACGCTCCACTTCTTGCACTACAGCAACAGATCGTTTCTTTTTTTACCTCATCACGGCAGCGTATTAAAGTTATTAAACTTCTCTCCTCCTGCAGCAATACCAGAGTGCCATCCGAGCTCACAAAGCAGGAAAAGAGGTCAACTTTGAGGAGCTGCCGGTTCCCCCTGGTGAGATTCTTTTCTCATTAGTCATTTTTTAGAGTTGAATGTAATTTACATATCATTTTATGGTATGGCACAAAAATGAATTTGAATTTTAGTTTTCCGGTTTTGTAGTCCTGGGGTGTGACTTTGTACCGTATCACTTATAACAGCTGTCAGTCAGCCAGTATTCGACCAAAAGAGTAAATCTAGAACGTAGCGTTTCAGAACTGTAATGCCGGTCTAAATTACTAATTAAATTAGTTTTGTTATTCAGGTTTTCCTCCAATCCCGGGCCAGAAGGAGACGGGAGCGGAGCAGGGATTCATTGCTGCTCTGGAGGCAGCAGATAAGCTTTCCTCCACTGATGATGCCGAAATGGCGAATGAAGAAGAAGATGAGGAGGAAGAGGTGCGCTATCAGCAGCACTTTACATATTTTTATATAAAACCTTTTATTGATGCGGTGTTTTGTGTTTGTTGCAGTCGAAGCCAGCAGCTCCAGAAGAGCCAAAGAAGCTCATGTTAGACGTCCCCACTGCAGGGCAAGGACGGAAGAGGACGCCGTCTGCTTCACCTGACGGAACAGCCACCAGGGAAGGACTTTCACCATCAGGTCCGTCCGCAGGTCACAGAAGTCTCTTTAATTTCTGTGACCATGAAAATCATTAGAAGGAGTTCAAGGGATTGTAACTCTGTGGCAGTAAATGTTGACTGAAAGTAGTATAGTAGTAAGATGGACAAAATCAACAAAACTCTACACTTCAATCACCTTCAGGTGTTAGTTTATTAGTTTTAATATAAAAGAAAACAAATAACACACCAATTAACATGACTGAAATGAACAATAAGAAATGCACACACACAGCAATACTTATTAGAGCGGCAAAGATTAGTTCATTCATGGATTAGTCGATTGTTTGTCATTTTTTTAAGCAAAAAATTCAAATATTCTCTGATTCCAGCTTCTCAAAAGTGATGATTTGCAGTCAGATGTGAGCTTACATTGTATAAGAGCATGAAGCAAATTGGAATTGTCAGCTTAATCAATAATGAATATAATTAATGTATAATGTAGCAAATGCTGTCCAGACAAGACCAAAAACATCTCTGTATGTGTAGACATGCAGGTCCTTCCACCTGCAGCCATGCTGCAAATGACCTTATTTTCATTACTGTGTAACAAAGAAAGAAAGACAACATTAACTGTTCATATGAAGCACCTCTGCAGAGATGAACCTCATCCCCACTAAAAATCAAACATCTACATGTTTACATTCGGTTTACTTTCTGTCTCTCTTCGTCCTGCAGCGGGTCAGCAGCTTGAGTTTCTGGAGGGCAGGAAGAAGCAGTACATGAAGGCGGCTCTGCAGGCAAAGCAGAAGAACGACATGGAGCAGGCCAAGGTCTTCCTCCGCACCGCCAAGGGCTTCGAACCCATGATCGAGGCCGCACGCAGCGGCAGGACTGTGGACATTAGTGCGGTGAGCCGACGGGCAATTTACTCTGCAAATGAATCCATTTATGATTTACCTCGACCCGGCTCGGTGTTAGAAATAGATCTTATTCTCTCAGAACAAAATGAGCTTTGGTGAGAGTATTGTGATTATTGTGACTGTTTTGTTACATTGTTGACAAAGTTTTTACTTGTTTTTATTTCAGTAGCTAAGAACGTCATATGGTAATTTGTCGTATGGCATAAAAACCGATGTATACAAAGTCATAGTATGTCATAGAATATTCTAGTTATAGTAGATCATAAAGAGTAATTAAAAAGGTAATAAACAGTCCTACAGTAGTATAGTATTAGTTATAAAAATATTAGATGGTATGTCATGAAAAATGTCATATAGAAAGTCATAGTATCGTCTGGCAACATTTACAGATGTTCATGTCTGATGTGAACACATGGCTGACCTCTCCGTTCTGTTTCGTGTAGGTGCCGTCGCCCCCTGGTGACGAAGACGAGGACTTCATCCTGGTTCATCACAGCGACGTGCAGATCTCAGAGAAGGCCGAGCAGCTTTACACACGGCTGGCCAAGATCCTCAAAGAGCAGTACGAGGTAAAATCACCCATTAGCTCATGTTTGAATTTGGATGAATGTACATTTCTCAAATCACAAAATTCTTACCTCAATGATTTTTAGAAAATGTTATCGTCCAAAATAAAAAGGTTGATTCCAAAGTGTGAAGTGTTCTAGAGCGTCATGTTCAGTTAGTGCAGGATGATAATAAGACTGATGTTCATCATCGTCATGGGTTAATCTGGTCATTGTAAGAAACTAGCAGCAAAAGGAAACAGAATACAAACAGAGATTACATGGTGATAAGATATGGATTATATTAACAACGTTACATACTTATGTTAATAACAGCAGAACTCTCAGATACTGATGTCAAGCCTCATTACATTTTATTTTGTTAATGTATTTACCTTTTTAATTTAGTAATACCTGAGTAGACTTCATCATATTCAGGTTTCCCATCGACCAGAAGACACTTTAATCTCTCCAGAATCCAAACATTTAAGTTTCCAAAATCATTTCTGAGATTTAGCTTTTCTACTCTCTGTCTCGTTGCTCCGCACGCTTCTTATTCATTTTCCTTGAGATATCTGACGTCAGTTCTTTTTCCTCCTCTTTCGTTAGAAATGTATGACTCACTCCAAGCAGTTCACTCACCTGGGGAACGTCACGGAAACAACAAAGTAAGCTTCCTGTGCAACTATTTACACGAACAATAAGAACAATAAGTTTATCTACTGGGATTAAATGGATGATCCACTCTCTACAATTATTCAATTATGCAGTCTATAAAATGTAAAAACAAATCGATTATGTATTCAAATCACACAGTGAACTACAACAGAAGGATGTTATAAAGTCCCCACATAGAGTCGACTGATTTCTCAAAGATGTTTCCTCCTCGCGTGTGTGTGTGTGTGTGTGTGTGTGTGTGTGTGTGTGTGTGTGTGTG